GTGTGTGTGTGTGTGTGTGTGTGTGTGTGTGTGTGTGTGTGTGTGTGTGTGTAACACTTTAATTAGGATGCAGAGTTAAGCAGTGAGAGACAGCTCTCCCAAATACTGTAATTATTAGGTTACTTAATTATTGAGGCAGGCATCCAAAAAGTGACAATCAATCCCACAGGCAGGTATTATATTATTGTAAATCATTTCCTTAGCATGAGGTTTATGTGCATTTAAAATAAAGATCATGTTTTTGTCTTCTTTTAATGCACAATGTATCAGCACCTGAATTCCAAGTAGTAGAGGGTTTCTAACAGGAGATTTGGGAAAGACAAATTTGTAATTGAATTGGGAATAAGAAAAGAACATAACTAAGAAAAGCACACACAAACAGCACTTGATTATGCAACATATAGCTGTTATTTAAAGTAGGTAAGGGTTAAAATCAGTATTTGGAAACTAGTAAACATCTGTATAATTCTACATTATTTGCTTAATGAGCAAATCAACAAAATAATTTCTTTTGTTTTGTAATTTGCTATTAGTACAAGATAAAGAGGGCCTTGAATAAATGCATTTTTATCATGTACAATATGAGATGCTTATAGGACAATATAGGTAAATAGTTAAAACAGACACTTTTTTGTTGTCTGAATGCTGATATCCTATCATCTCTGTATCTGTTTTTTATTTATATATTTATTTTTGTCTCTTACAGCTGAAGAACAAAGGAGGGAAAGGAATACCTTTCCCGAATCAACTGCTTATATTATTAAACTCATTTGGAATGGACAATGGAATGTTCCCTACTTTTATCATGATCAAAAACTTCTTCCTTCTCTGCATTTCCATAAATTTAGCCAGTCACTTTGGGTAAGTTGTCACGTATTTGACTTTTTTTAACTGAAGACAGTATGTTCACAGATATGACTTTAAGAACATCTAAAGCTCTGTTTCCTCCCAGTGTGTGGCAGGAAGAAAAATAGACTTGCTTTTGATCCACTACTAATGTCAGGGGGGAAAGGGAGCAATTATTTTTTCCCAATGAAATGTTCTGTTTCTCACCAGTTTATGGACCAGTCCTATATCCCCTGCACAGCTGCTGACTGTGGTGGATACTGAAGTCAAAGGGAGTTTTGTGTATACAAAAAATTCAGGATTACAACCACAGAGGTCAAGCCTGCCAGGTGCTGAATGTGCTGACCCCAGTAGCAAAGCACTAAATTACATATTAAACTTGAAATCGATGAAGGTCACATGACTTCAATGGGAAAAAGTGCTTAACTTTACATGCTTAAAGTTAAGCACATGCTTTAGTGCTTTTCTTGAACAGGGCCAGAGTGCTCAACACGTTGCAGGGATTAGGCCCCTAGTGAGTTCTGAAACAAGAATTGCTGACACCTTTCTTCTTCTGGATCATTGTACACAGGGTATAGTTGGTGAAGCATCCATTGCAGGTTGTATTAGGACAGAGAGAATTCAGCATGAGCTCCCGGTTATTAAAATTAATTATTTAAAAGTGAGCTTGCTCCTACTCAAAATGAAAATAAAGGTTTGAAAGTTGAGAAAATATTTCTACAGAACATGTTACAAACAATTCTATTTAATTAACCTTTTTAGGTGCCTACCTGAATCATTGTTTTCTGAATGTTAAATATAGCAAATATCACTGCTATATTTCACCTCTCAAAAAACCCCAAACTTAGCTGTTTTCACTAATGTACCAGAAGCAGTCTATGAAAGTGATTTTAAACAAAGCATTTAGTAAAGTTTATAGAAATCTAAAGTGACTATATTTTGGGAAAAGATATGTATGTATACAATTTTGCTGAAAAATAAATTTTCCTAATTGAATCCCATCCTGGGACATATGTTAACAGCTCCCCACTTTGGAAAAATACATAATAGATTCAAATAAACTCCCCATCTCAACAAGATTAAATTTTTGAAGAGTTTGGAACTAGCACAGGAGCCAAACTTTGTGACTGGTGACTCTTTACAATGCACAAAACTAACACCCTGGATGTGAACTCCCCCAAACCTTTGGATCTGAACTTGATGGCTCAGACCCATCTCCAATATAAGCCTATTAAGACACTCAGAACTCTGTTACCAATCAGTTGAGAAAAAGCAGACAGTTCTAAAATGCATACTACAAGGAAGCTAAACAGCTGAAAAATTAAAATACTAATCTATGGTACACCTGCTCCTGCTATCATGCAGCCTATGGCAAAACTCCCATTGGACCTTACTGGGAGCAGAATCGGGCTCTTAGGTCTAGAGTCACAAAAATACCTAGGTGTAGTGATGCTCAGAGCCACCATGCCTAACTCTTAGGCCTGAGTTTGGTGTGTGGACTCCCTGTGCAATGAATGGGGAGAGAGAGGTGTCTTAGACTGAGCGATTCACAAAACCCAGCACCCTAGGTTGCTCCTCGTCTAAGCTAGCCAGTGGGAGATGCCACGTTGATGGGTGTGTCCTAACCACTGCCCATCTCTCAGAGATAGACGCCTAAATCCAGACTGCCTGCGGGCACCTACCTCTACTTGGGATTCTCAGCTGCTAACCCTCTCCTGGTGTTAGGCAGGAGGAGAATGACTACCTCGTATTTTACCAAAGGGGGGAAGGAGGACAAGGACAACGACCTCTCTCATAGCTTTTAGTCCAATGGTTATGGCACTCACACAGGATGTGGGAGACCCCAGCTCAAGTCCCGTCTCCAGTTGATGGGGAGAAGAGATCTGAACAGGAGTCTCCCACTCTCAGGTGAGTGCTCTAACTACCAGCCTACAGAGTCATCCTCATGCTTGTATCCTCTTTGCCCCAATGATTTGTTCATTAGTTAATCCACAGGGGAACAGAGTGTGAGGTCAGAGTATGAGAGAGAGCCTGATGCTTAGAGCACTCGGCTGAGAACTGGGAGACCCAGGATCCACTCCCCCTGCTCCAACTGAGGGAACTTCACATCGGAATGTACCATAACTCATGGGTGAGAGCACTCAACTAAGAAATGACAGACTCCCTGTTCAAATCCCTGCTCCCCCTCAGGCAGAGGGGAGAGAACTGTGGGTCACCCATATTCCAAGTGAGTGTTCTACCCACTGGGCTAAAAGTTAGGAGGGAGGTTCCCCCTGGGGAGGTTGTGTAAACTTCTTCTCCCCCTTTATCCCCAGCATTCTGTGTAAGCTTCTCTATAGGGCCTGATCCAGTAGGCAGGGCCGGCACCAGCGAAGGAAGCAGGTGCTTCAGGCGGCCAATGGAAAGGAGCGGCACATCCAGGTCTTTGGCGGCAATTCGGCGGCGAGTCCCTCTTGGAGCAAAGGACTCGCCGCGGAATTGCCTCCGATCGCGGCTTTATCTTTTTTTTTCCCTTCACTGCTTGGGGTGGCAAAAAAGCTGGAGCCGGCCCTGCCAGTAGGCAAGGTCTGAACATGCTAACTGGATCAGGCCCTGAAAGCGAGCAATGCCTAGCTTCCCCTGGTTTCTGCATTGATCTGAGCCTTAGGTGTCTGGATATCTAGCATAAGGGTACAGTGCACGTGCTCAGCAGCAGAAACATTGGTGCCAAGGGAACTTGTACTGCAAAAATTTTGGTGCTGAGTGAGCGAGGCACCTTTGGGGTTCAGAGATAGCTGAGCAGAGTGTTTGTGAATCTCAGAGGGGCCTGGTTGTGGGATTTAAGTGCCTAAAGTGATAGTTAGGTGACTACGTCCTTTTGTGAATATGTACCTTAGTTTATTATAGAAATGGAAAGAAATTAGACAGTGATAGTTTGGCTCTACAAACATGGTGGTAATTTGTTAAAATTTTACCATTTTGAGAAACATTCTAGGATTGCAACCTTGAGGTCTCGGCCCTTTCACTTCACTGGTACAGTAAGCAGGAAAGCATGCAATAAGTTAGCGTTAGCCATGTTTTCTTGGATAATATTCAGTCCTTTAACTTCTGTATGGTATTCCCTTTAACAAAGAAGTGTGGATTTGTTGCTCTTTGAAGACAGGGTCTAAGTGCAGTGGCTAAAAACAGGAAAAAAATAATGGATAGAAATAAGCCTCAGGCAGGATTCATCGCAAAGTTTTGCCAGTGCACTTCAGTTGTGACCTGCAACTCACCTGAGTTGTAAGGCCTGTACCATATAAACAGAGAGAGACAGTCCTGCCAAATTGGGACATCTGATTCCACGAGTTAATCAAATAGCTATTAAGTACTAAAATGCGACTCTACAATACCATTTTTTCCTTTTGTGATCCAATAATTTACCCTAGGCTTGTAGAGGTAAATAGCTCTAATCCACTCCACTGTTAGCCCTACAGAATTCAAGTGCTGCCGTAAGGTCAAATTGTCACTCCGCTCATGCAGCAGTGTGGGGGCAAAAGGTGGTGCTGTGTATCTAAGTAGTTCTGCCTTACAAGCAGCTGCAATGTCAGTGTATAGTTTAGGTGCTTTGGGATGCTTCAGGATAAAAAGGTACTATATTCAGATAAAATATTAGGCTGGTATAGAAACAGTAGTAGCCCTTTGATTGCCACAGTTAACACTTATTATTGCCAATAGACTGTACTGTAATGATTTAGGATCATTTAGGTTTGGTATGCAGTGCTACATTTTAGTGTGTTTAATTGTAATACATTAAGGAAAAGTGGCTGTCATTTTGGTATAATGGACAAAGATTAAAAACCAAAATACAAAAAGAAGTTGTAGATGAAGGCTGTGATTTTCAAATCTTCCTAGGAGACTAAGACACGTAATACCCAATGAAATAAATGGGAATTATGTATCTAAATCCCCCAGATGGTTTTTAAAATCTCAGCAAAAGCAAAATCTCAGCTGTAATTCTGGGCTATCATAAATATGGAATGACTGCTGAGAATTATATACAACATTAAGCCATGGGGGAAAAGCGAGGTGTAGAACTGTAAACATAGTTACATGGTGTTATTAAAAAAAGTCACAAAATTAAAATTCAGAGGTATAGAGGGGTGAAATTTTGGAACAGCCTTCCGAGGGAAACGGTGGGGGCGAAAGACCTCTCTGGCTTCAAGATTAGGCTAGATAAGTTTATGGAGGGAATGGTTTGATGGGATTACGTGATTCTAATCAATTAGGCAATAACGGCCATCGCTGGTAAAATGAGGGTCTGGCTAGAGAATCTTGCCTGTATGCTCGGGGTTCTGCTGATCGCCATATTTGGGGTCGGGAAGGAATTTTCCTCCAGGGTAGATTGGCAGTGGCCCTGGAGGTTTTTCGCCTTCCTCCGCAGCATAGGGCAGGGGTCGCAAGCTGGAAGATTCTCTGCGACTTGAAGTCTTTAGATCACGATCTGGAGACTTCAACAGCAGAGTTAAGGGAAAGTGGGGGGGTCAGCTTTTGTGGCCTGCATCATGCGGGGGGTCAGACTAGATGACCATATTGGTCCCTTCTGACCTTAAAGTCTATGAGTCTATGAGATCAAAGAAGACCAGAATACAAAAACCCCCAACCCAGCATTGTTCATATAACAGCGATTTATGAGCCTTGTTCTGCATAAATACACCTCTACCCCAATATAATGCGAACCGATATAACACGAATTCTGATATAACGCGGTAAAGCAGTGCTCTGGGGGGGCAGGGCTGCACACTCCGGCGGATCAAAGCAAGTTCAAAGCGGTTTCACCTATAACACAGTAAGATTTTTTGGCTCCTGAGGACAGCGTTATATCGAGGTAGAGTTGTAGTCTAATGTGAGTCAAGCAGACTTCAAGCTTGCTAGAATTAGACCATAAGTTTTATAATACCTTACTGTACTGAGGTATCTTAAGATGCTTTACAATTTTGCTGAAATTAAAAATTAATCAGTACTATGATGTTAATGAATAGTAAAAAATCTATTAC